AAATTTTCAGAAATTGGCTCGTTTTTAATGGCTGTAACTTGAAAATTTGAGCTCGGAATTAGCTCAAACTTTCTACATAGCATGAATATATCAATGTGTATCAGAAAATGTAATTGAAAAGAGAGGGAGAGAAGGAGGAAGAGTATGTCAATTAAACCTTGGCACAGTTTAGTATGTTCAATATACACAGTCACTTGTGATTGTCATAGCTTAGATATATCCTAAAAAGCAATAAGATGAAAAGGATAACTGGTAGTAAAGGTACAAAATAAATAAAGGTACATATATCAATATATGTCATTGTTAATGACATATTGTACTACCCATTGTTTGAAACCAATTTTGATTGGAATCACTCAAACTTAAAATACAATACAAGAGCATGCATATGCATCAAAAAAATTATAAAAATGAAAAATTTCACCGTTTCATTTTCAGCAAAATAATATTATCAACCCTGGGATTGCCTGATGTACATTTGACCTTTGCTTCAGGAATCAGGACAGTATTGTCCTAAGGGGTAAGTCAGAAAAGAGAGTCTGGCATAGGCATTATCTCCTTTAAAATACATGTATGTGCAATGTGACCTTATTATGGACCAATCATGAATTAATTGTTATTGGAAAGGTGCAGCTATATAGTCATCATAAATAACAATCACATCAAGTATGATGAATCACTTAATTACTATATCCTGTGTGTAGATATGCACATAATGTATCTACACAGTTTATACATACTCCTTCAGTATTCATTTGATAGAAGCATGTTATTATAACCTTATATAAAGTGTATAGTCAAAGAAGCAAGGATGATTAAGAATAGACTAGGCCTCACTGTCTCGTTCTTGTTGATCCTATTAGTGGATGGAGCTGGTAATAATGTGTTGTGAATGTACTTCATGTTTTGATTGTTCTTCTAGATATATCAGTTGGTCCTACTTCTGTTACTGTTCCTATTTATGAGACAGCAAGTTTTACTTGTGAAGGAACTGGCAATGAACTGAATTGGCTAGTTGGGGGGTTTACACTAACAGAATCAGTTAAACAACAAAGAAACATATCTTTTACTGATCCTGGTAGTGGTCCTGGTAACTTATCATCAGTACTTACTATCAGTGGGTTACCTGTTAATGATGGATTACAAATTGGTTGTCAAATAATATCATATCAACCTTTTAAACAAGTGTTCTCTGGTGGTACACTAACAATAAGAGGTTATAGTCTATTTTATAAATAATATGACTGATTCATTTTCTATTAGGAATATCACCAGTTGAAGACATACAATGGTCTAATGATGATCAGTTCCTGTCATGGTCTCCTCCTTCTTTCTATTCTAATGATATACCGGTACCTCGAGGAGCTGTCGCTACATATAATGTACTAGTGAATGGTATCAGTGCTACTAACACTACTGATACTAGTGTATGGTTGAATACTACTAAATTACCTTGTACTAATGTTACTGTCAGCATTTCTGTATCTGTGGTAAAATATATATCAAAGGAAAAAGAAGAAAGTTTTATTGAATAAAAGTAAGTATAAGCAGGTAAGTATAAATTGAATAAAATTATTATTTTATTTTTGTTAGATCATACTGTTAGTTGTGAAAATCTCACAATAACTTTTAATGTATCAAGCCAATCATTTGTTGTTAATCTTCATAGTTTGGTAAGACTATTTCATTAGTCATTATAGTATTATAGATTATTTATTAGATACACAGTAATCAGTCATGTAAATATGACTTTGTTGGTAGAGTTAATCCTGATGAAGGGATAGAAGATAACACACAGAGAGTTCAAGTAAATGAAAAAGAAGAGGTGTTTTCATACAGAATGACTGGATTAAGACCATGTACAGATTATACTGCTTATATAGAGATTAATCAAAACACTTTTGAAGTTCCATTTTGTAAGTTTTAAATATTACTTTAACTTATGTTCGAATCTTACTTTAAGCTATATACATATAATGATGTACAAGATCTGTTAGTATCTACTGAAAGGAATGGATCAGTTAGTGTACAGTGTGTGTTTGTATCAGAATCAACTGCTGATGGATGTCATGTGATATTTACTGATACTAGTAATGGAAGGAATGAATACTTTAATATAACTGGATCAGGCAATACAATAGTATCAGTATCAACCAGTGGAGTGTATAATGTAGTTGCATACGACATTATTGATGATGGGCATATTATCCCATGGACTTGTGTACAACCTAAACAAGTTAACATGACTTTTATAACTACTGCTACTTCCTCCAGTGGTAGAGATACTTTAATTCTTTGTTATTGTTATTATTATTATTATTATTATTAGGAGTAATTATTACTGTCAGTTCTAGTTTTTCCTCTACTACCATCAGTAGTTTAACTTTTGTTACTACAACACCATCAGCAACTGTTATTATTGAAACTGAAACTAATGCATCAAGTGTCGACTGACACGTACTCATTACATATTTTTACAATGAATTGTTTTATATTCAGGAAATGCTGGCAGCTCAATGATCTATGTCATTGCTAGTGTGGTATTTGTTCTGATATTTATAATAATAGTAATAATAATATCCTTCACGTTGTGTGTGGTTGTTGGGACTAAAAGGAATGATAAGAACAAAGCTACACTTGGTGAAGGTAAGTGTCATAGTTATAAATTGTTATTGTAAATGTCATCTGCTAGTATGCACTATAAATAGTGGAGTATTCATAATAATACTGCTGATTGTAATCATTTTTATTATACTACTATGCCTCTAGTTGTAATTGATCAATCAGGAATGTTGCTCAATTTTAGATTCATAAATAACTCACTTACCACCAAGTTCCCCTAAGAGGTTGAATAAGTAGCCCGGGAGGTTGGTAGAAGTTGGTTATGCAACTTGGTATCAGTATCTGTGGCCTTGCGTAACTATTGCCCTTGGTATGATAAATGCCATAGATACCTCACCTTGATGTATAACCTATATGTATCTTGTGTGTGAGGAAAAAAGGAAGGTAGCTACTTCTTGTTTAGTTTTTAGTTTGCTTAGCAAAATTTTTATTTTTATTTTTAAAGGTAATTCCATTAAGATTACAGTTAATAATCCAGCATATGGTCAGAGTAAGCTGATTAAATTAATACACTAGCTAATCTAACTATTCATTTCTAGTTGAACAAACAGCAAGACCTGTACAGTCAGTACAAGGATCAGTATTGAACACAAATGTTAATCCAGCATATGAGACTGTTGTTGTTTATGAATATGTAATATAATTACAAAATATATAACAAATATTTAGTCACTGCATTTATTGCTGTAATTTTTACAAAATGGTGAAAATGTCTTCAAATGCTTTGGTTTGTTAAAATTTGTTTAAAATGATGATTGTAAAATTTATAATAGGTGTAATTTTGATCAGAATCAACTCAAACTATCTAATCAATATAGATAAAAAAATTATAAAAATGAAGAATTCTCTTGATACACGTACAACATAAGTACATGTATTATCAATAAATGTCAGAACCACTTCAATTAGGTGAGAAATAGTGATTATATCTCTAAAAAATAACACAACAATAAAACAACAACAACAACAACAACAACAACAACAACAACAACAACAATAATAATAATACCAATATAGTACCAAACTATCAGTAAACACATACAAACACACACTCACTAACAGTCAATCAAACTCAATGTATTGTTGATCCTGTACATTGACAGCAAGTGGCCTGTGTAGCCCTGGTGGTACTGCCGGAGGTACTGCATAAGCTGAACAAGGTTGTATCTCTGGTAATGCTTGTATATTAACAGCATGGACTCTTCTCTTCTCTTCAATGTTATCATACATTGGTTCAGGAGGGGGAGGGGCTGTGGAGTGAACAGGAGATAAAGATGAGGAATGAGTTTTGAAGCTGGCTCCTCTTAATGTTTGTACATGTATACCTTGACAGTGAACCCCAGCTCTTCATAATGCCAACAAAAGGTTAATTCTGTATTATATGAACAATTTCATATCATTTCTTCAGTTTAAATTATAGATATGAAATGAGGGAATGTCATAATAACCTCCAAGTAACACCTCAGCATGTTTAAACTTCTGTAATGCTGCAGTTTCAGCTATTGAAAGAGAAAGGGAGGTAAGAACAATATGTTAAAGCTTGGTACAGTTGACCTTTACTTCATGAACCAGATCAGTATTGTCCTGATATGTAGCTCAGAAAGAAACGAAGGAAGAGTCTTCCATAGGCATTACCTCATATGCATGATGTTTGATGTGACCTTATATAGACCAATCAATTAATAGCACATAATGTATCTATGCAAACTCATTCAGTTTTCATCTGATGAAAGCATGTTATGATAGTCTTATAGAAAGTGTTGTTTTAAAGAAGCAAAGATGGTTCAAAATGGATCAGGCATGTATCTCACTGTCTTGCTCTTGCTGATCATATCAGTAGATGGAGCTGGTATTTAATGTGTGTTGAATGTACTTCATTCTTTATTATTCTTCTAGATATAACAGTTGCTCCTACTTCTATTACTGTTCCTATTTATGAGACAGCAAGTTTTATTTGTGAAGGAACTGGCAATGAACTGAATTGGATAGTAGGGAGTACTGTACTAACAGAATCAGTTAAACAACAAAGAGATATATCCTTTACTAATCCTGGAGGTCCTGGTAACTTATCATCAGTACTTACTATCACTGGGTTACCTGTTAATGATGGAATTGGGATTGGTTGTCAAGTAGTATCATATCCACCTTTTGAACAAGTACTCTCTAACACTGGTACACTAACAATAAGAGGTTAGTAACTTAATACACAGTTAGTATAGTATATAATTATTAATTATTTATTAGGAATATCACCAGTTGAAGACATACAATGGTCTAATGATAATCAGTCCTTGTCATGGTCTCCTCCTTCTTTCTATTCTGGTGATATTTTTTCAGGAGGTTATGCTATTAAAGATACTGTTTATAATGTACTAGTGAATGGTATCAGTGTTACTAATACCACTGATACTAGCATATGGTTGAATACTACAACATTAGATATTTTCTGCTCAAATTTTACCATCAGTATTACTGCATCTATTGTACAGTATGTATCACAAGGGAGAGAATATATTTTTAACATCACCACAAGTAAGTATAGAAAGCTTAGTTGTTAATTAATTCACTTTATCCATCCGTAGGTTACACTATCAGTATATTAAATTATGCTCTGATGTATAATGAAACAAGTGATTTGTTTTTTATCAATCTAATAAACTTGGTAATAATTCTGTAAATTTAAGCATAATTTACAATTTGCTTAACATCATTAGGTAAACAGTTCAACACAATCCTGTAACATTGCCATATACAGTAATCTTTATTTTGATGAAGGAGTAACACAGACTATGTATCATATCATAACTGATGATATACATAGATTAATATCATACATAATGACTGATTTAAAACCATGTAAAGTCTATACTGTTCAAGTCATTGTGTTGAATTCCTTATTTGGTATTGAAGATCAAGATAATGTGACTATCAGTAAGTTTACATTTCAGTATACTGTTTTAAATTTATTTCTTTTATTTTAAGCTACATACAATGTACAAGATGTGCTAGTATCTACTGAAGGGAATGGATCAGTTAGTGTACAGTGTGTGTTTGTATCAGGATCAACTGCTGATGGATGTCATGTGATATTTACTGATACTAGTAATGTAAGGAATAAATACATTAATATAACTGGATCAGGCAGTATGATAGTATCATTACCAACCAGTGGAGTATATAATGTAACTACACATGATATTATTAATGGAGTGATTACTCCATGGACTTGTGTACAACCTAAAAAAGTATATATCATTATTCCTTCTATTGTCTACAGCAGCAATTACAGCACCATACATGATAGTACTAGTAAGCATGAATGAACATTTAAGTTAAGTAATTCACATATAATGACCTTTAGGTGTGTTATCTATGGAAGTTGAATACTCAACAGGTATATTGTTTTATTTTGTTTAACTTGAAATCATTAATTTTCATAGTAACAATTTCTCCTTACCATACGGTTCATAGTGATCCATCTCCAGTGGTATCTGCTGCAGTGCTAGTATGTACTATAGTTGGTACAGTACTTGTGATAATACTGTTGATTGTAATAGTCACTGTTAGTATTTGGTGTGCAAAGAAGAGGAAAGAAGGTAGCTACTTGAGTCTGTTATTTTGCTTTATAGTATGTTTCTTATTTTAAAACAAAGGTTCCATTGAGATTACAGTCAACAATCCAGCATATGGACAAAGTGAGATATTTCTAGTATATATAAATAATATCTCTCTACTCAGTTTTAGTTGAACAAACAGCAAGACCTCTACAGTCAGTACAAGGATCAGTATTGAACACAAATGTTAATCCAGCTTATGAGACTGTTGTTGTTTATGAATATATTGATTAATTCATTAAGATATGACTATAATTTGCATATTCCTGATTGTGTGCAGAGAGACAAACAAGAGGCATGTTTGTTCCTCTGCTAATTCTAGGTGTTGTCACTCTAAAAGAAACATATAGTGCTGGTAAGTAATGAATTATAATAGTAAGATGTAGCTGGCCGTGTATTCTTCTAGATATAACAGTTGGTCCTACTTCTGTTACTGTTCCTATTTATGAAACAGCAAGTTTTACTTGTGAACGAACTGGCAATGAACTGAATTGGCTAGTACATAGTGCTCCACTAACAGAATCAGTTAAACAACAAAGAAGCATCACAGTTACTGATCCTGGTGGTGGTCCTGGTAACTTATCGTCAGTACTTACTGTCACTGGGTTACCTGTTAATGATGGGATTAGTATTGGTTGTCAGATAATATCATATCCACCTTTTGAACAAGTGTTCTCTGACACTAGTACACTAACAATAAGAGGTTAGTACACATATGTGACCATAATTGACAAAAGGTACCTTATGGCGGGTAGTGAAATTTGTCTTTCTAGCCTAAGAAATCCAACTTCCTGAGCCCCATTTATCATAAAATTACTCCACAGGATGCAAAAAGTTACCATGAAACTTTTAGAAACAATGATTATCTAACAAAGCACTCACAGGTTGATATTTGCCATTATTAAGATCAATTTTAAAATCCGCCATAAGGGCCCTTTTGTCAATTATGGTCACATATATTATGATTAATAGTATAACAATTAATTTATCTATTAGGAATATCACCAGTTGAAGACATACAATGGTCTATTGATAATCAGTCCTTGTCCTGGTCTCCTCCTTCTTTCTATTCTAATGATATATTTTCAGAAGGTTATTCTAGTATTAAAGATACTGTTTATAATGTACTAGTGAATGGTATCAGTTATGTCAATACCATTGATACTAGTGTATGGTTGAATACTACTGGATTACCTTGTACTAATGTTACTGTCAGTATTACTGCATATATTTTACAATATGTATCTCAAGGGGGAGAATATAGTTTTAACATTGATGGAAGTAAGTATGAAATAAATAAGCTAAATATTATTTGCTTTTGCTAGATCGTACTATTACTTTTAACAGTATTACTAAGACGTATGATGACTCAAGCCAGACATTTGTTGCTACTATTATCAGTTTGGTAAGATTAGGTACTTAAGTTAGATATATTACTATTATAAATTACTTTCAATAGATACAGAGTATTCGGTCATGTATATATACAATAGTTGGTAGAGTTGATCCTGATGAAGAAATAGAAAACAACACTCAAATAGTTCAAGCAGATGACAATGAAGAGTTGTTTTCATACAGAATGATTGGATTAAGACCCTGTACAGATTATACTGCTTATATAGAAATTTATGAAAATACTGTTAAAGTTCCATTTTGTAAGTTTTAATGTTTAATTACTTTAACTTATGTTCTATCTTACCTTAAGCTACATATAATGTACAAGATGTGCTAGTATCTACTGAAGGGAGTGGATCAGTTAGTGTACAGTGTGTGTTTGTATCAGGATCAACTGCTGATGGATGTCATGTGATATTTACTGATGACAGTAATGGAAGGAATGAATACTTTGATATAACTGGATCATATAATAGAATAATATATTTATCAACCAGTGGAGTATATGCTGCAGCTGTTCATGATATTATTAATGGAGTGATTACTCCATGGACTTGTGTACAACCTAAACAAGTTAATGTGGCCCTTATAGCACCTAAAAAATCTTCTTCTATTGGTAATAAATAAATTTTGTTAATCATAAATAATTTATTATTACTTATTAGAAGATATTTACATCAGTGAAACATCTATTACAACACCATCACCAACTGATGATATGTCAGGTACTGAATGGCATGTACACTTACACATTTTCACAATAAATTGTTTTATATTTAGGAAATGCTGACAGCCCAATGATCTATGCCACTATTACTAGTGGGGTATTTATTGTTCTTATAATAATGATGATAATATCCCTTACTGTGTGTGTGATTGTGAGTAAAAGGAAGCAAAAGAACAAAGTTACACTTGGTGCAGGTAAGCGACTCATTATAAATGATATGATTATTAAGGTTCATAAATGACTTACTACCAAAGTAATTACTGGGAGATTGGACAAACTTATTGACCTCATGCACAGGCTGTTGCTAAGTGTTGCTAGTTGTAGAAGTTGGTTATACAGTTGGTATCTATGGCTTTATCAACTAACAGCCATTTGTATAACAAATTCCATAGATACATACCTAGCTCACCTCATTGAATAACCTTTATTTACTATGTAGAAATTGCTGCCTGTCATAAACCACAAGCAGAGATGAGTCATTATCAAGAGATACCTATTGGACCAGTAGCTATTGATATGTCAAAAGATGAAGGATCTAAAGTTCCAACAAGTGGCCCAGTACAAGGGAATTTAGAAGGTCCTTATCATGTTCTTACTCATGAGGTACTAGCTATTAGGAATGTATGTTACTATTGAATGATGCAATATACTTTATAATGGTCTCAATGCTGTGAACATTATGCTCCATTGTGTTTATTTTAGGGACAATCTGTTCAACAGAATAACTCCCTTGTCACTACTACATCACCACAAGAGGTAATGCTATTATTTGTAGTGAAAACCATAATAATACGCTTTTTGTTGCCAAAACGCTAATTATGTGTGTATGGCATACACTTGTTTTGAATACAATGTTTATTGTTATTTAATGATGTTATGATAATAGTATGCACCCAAATGATAAAAAAGCTTTAATGACAAGGACTGATATACTATTATATATAATAATAAGTATAAGTTCTTAACTAATTGAAATTTGATTATGTAACAGTGTGTGGTTGCTATGTTAGCATTTTAAAATATGCTGTGCTGTCATTGAGTACTAATTTTCCTATCTCCATAATGAGATTCATGACCTGTACTCCTACACTATAAATAATGATATCACATTGTATTCTCATAATTGGTTATGTGTGTTGTGCACTTTGTAATGAGATTTATGAGTAGTAAGTAGTAATGGTAAAATGACTAAAAATAGTCAAAATTGTAGCTTTAATAATTATTATTCTGATTATTAGGGGCAGACCCAAAACAACTCATCATCATCCAGCCATGGCTCTCTTGGTTCACCTCCAAATATTGCTACTCCATCACATGATCATGACACTAATCCTACTGCTACTGTTGGTGGGATTACTGTACCCAATGACGGAGTTGAAGTAAAATATGATGCAGCTCCATCTTCAGCCTCTAACTATAACTCACACCCTGAAGTTGGTAAGGGAAATGCTGTATATTAACTAAAAAAGTATTTCATATCTTTATTGTAGTTGTGGATCCTATTCAGTTGCCAAATAAAGGACCAGTCAAAGTAGAATCAGATGATCGCTGTCTTGTAAGTATTGTTGGTACTTTGTCCACTCCTCCTCCTTCCCCACGTGTTGCTTCTTTTAATACTGGCAGTCCTACCACTGATACCAGCACATCCAAAGATCATGTCTTGGCTGAATTGCCTATACATGTACATGTAGGTGAAGGTGAGTCATTCAATGGAATTCAACAACAAAACGAGTACAATCATCAGAGAAGTATATTGGTAGTCACTAGCTGTGCTTGGAAATATAGACCTGATGAGACATCAGCTTTAGATGATGACAATATGGAACTTACACCAATAGCTGTTGGGGATCAATGTGAAACAAAGGAAGTAAATGAAGAGGGAGAAATTAGTAGTAATGATATTGAGATGTTTTCTGGGGGTTTTGAAATTGAAATATCTCTTCAAATTGATTCTTGTGTTAACGTTCCTTTTTTGGGTAATCCTGGAGCTGGTAAAACTACTCTTAGTCCTGTCATGAATGACACAACTACTGGCACTTTTGCAGAAAGTCTTTTTGTGGATGAACATGAAGAGGAAACAGAGAGAATAAGTCATATAAATTTCCAACATAGGAAAAGAAGTAATGAAAATGGCCAAAAAAATGCTGTTGTGACCATCAATGGAGAATTAGGCAAGACCAAGCCAAAAGAAATTTTATGTGAAAATGAAGCAATTGATCAAGCTATAGATGAAAAAGTTTTTAACCATCACAAAGGGTCTACAGATTCAGCCACTGGGTTCAGCTCAAAAACGGAAGCTAATTACAATCTGTTATTCAAAGTATCGGAGCAGTTTCTATATCTCGAGCTAAGTCTACTTATTTGTATAGTAAATTGCATTCCTTTCAGTGATTTGAATGATGTATTGGTCCATGATAGATCTACTATAAAATCCACAGTTGTTAGTGCATCTGTCTGGTTTGAATCTCTCAACTACAAACATCGTGTTTGTAAAAGGACAAGGAAAAAACATTTATTTGTATTGGTAATGAACTAAAAAAGTACATCCTAATGTGCTTCCTAATTATTTTCTTATTATTCTCAGTTGGTGTTTATGTCTTAAGTAGTCTAAAAGTGCCCATACTTACTATTTACAATGGCTTGTTATCCTCATGTACGTAACATTTGTCACCCTCAGTTACTTGCTATATATGCTACTATTATCTTATTAATCTTATTAAACTTTGCTTCTAATTATTTTGATTTGATTCAAAAGTCATCATCTACAACAACTGTAGCAACAACATACCTTGAGCCAGTTGATGAAATCCCACGTGATCCGGATCCACCTTAGACATATGGATGGATTGTGAACATTGTTAACTAGTCACAGTCAAAAAAGTGTTACTGGCTCGGAACAATTAGGTTGGAATGAAGCAGCTTGGGGTTTTGGACTCATAAGTCCCAATTCCCTGTGTAGAAGACCAATTGAAGACAAATCAACTAATAATACTGTTAACTGAAGCAATGCTCTATTTTCTTTATGTTTGTTGATTTCAGTTTTGATTTTCTCTGCCTTATTGATTAAAATTTGTAATTGTTAATTTGTCAATCACTGCAGCTAGCCTTAGATGACACAATATTTCATCATACACATACATAATCTCAAGATATTAATCAGGCAGTTCTCTTGGCCATTTCAAAGAAGC